AGTTCTCCTTTAGATTCTGTGTCTTAAAAGTCTACACACCTGTGGGGGTAATAAGTCAGTTAAATTAGATGGGTCAGAGAGGATCAAATCTATGTGTCTGCATGCAGTCCAAAAATATACAAAAATGCCTGGTAATGTCAATAGTGACCAGAGCTCACTTCCATTTTGACCAAAAAGCTTGTCTTTTGCCAGTTCCTTTTAAGACTGGTTTGTTTGGGCTGTCTGGTGGCATTCAATAACATGAAGATCAGCTCCCAGTCTTGCCCAAATTGTCCAGATTGGGGTCGTTCACTTCGTCTGCGAGTACCTTTACTTGCTCAATAATCAGCTATGTTTCTGTTAGTCATAAGTGGCATATAATCAATGATCTTTGACAGCCAGTGGTTTTATGCCTAGACACTTTAATGCTTGTCTTTTGAGAAGGAGAACGGCTTTGATTAGTCAATTACCTTTTCGGGAAATCCATTAAAGCAAACTTGTCAGTTACTGAGCAATAGGGCACTCGGCACCATGCTGGGGAAGAGAGTTTAGACAAAAGATCTGTTTTTGATAGACAAGCAGCTAAAATGTTGTGTGTAGAATTGGGTCAGGGCTCAGCCAGGGGGTAGTGATTTTGAAGCCAGGAAGACAGTGTCTATAGTGTTATATATAGCTGTGTTATAGCATGCGGACCATGTCCGCTTTTACTTCAGTGGTCACAATTTGTGGATTAGTGGATTTAGGCACAGTGGTCACAATTTGTTTAATGAAAGAAAAATCTGTGAAAAGTTGTATATGTCCCTTCCTGTTTTTTGTTCTAAGTGAAGCTGTGGGCTTACAAAGTGCAGTGCAACATCTGACAATAAATGCATGTTTGCTTGAGATGCATGCCATCCCACATCCTAACACCAATCCATAATATGGCATTGGACTTTAACCATATTAGTGGATCTATTAAACAAAATCAAATTTTTCCTGAATTAATATGGCATACAGATGTATGCATTACAAAATCACTTCCTGTTTTGCTTTAAGAAGTACCTACCTCTTGCTTGCCATGAACAACAATCATTCTTCCTGAGCTCCCTTGTGACTTAAAAACCAAGCCACAAATATGACATGGTCAGGGCAGCCGTGGGGGTGTGTGATGCCATTAGAGATGACAAATAGTTTGTTTTCAGTAAGACCTTGTCTGGTAAACTAGCAGTGAATTAAGAAGATCAGCATGACCTTATTAATAACAGCACAACCCACCACGTATGCAGGAAGCACAGTCTACATACGTCATGAGCAAATGCACCTCCATTTACTTGTTATGGATGAAAACAAGGTTTCTAAAACATTAACTCTAAACAATACCATGAATAAGGATTACATTCAGCTAGTCTATTCGCTGCAATTCTATATATGTATACAATATACCTTTTAGCACAGCACACTTGATGATTGATGCATAATGCATACACCTGATACATACTCAGGGTTAATACCATTTAGCACTTGACACATCCTCTAAGGGTTATTACCTTTTAGCACAGCACACTTGATGTTATTGGTGATTGAATGCGCAGTGCATACACTTGATACATATATATATGTGTATGTATGTATCAGTGATGTGTGGTGCCTTCCGTGCTGGGTGAGGCATTCCCCAGCCCCGCTCCCAGCATACCAAAGCCCCGCCCCAGCACACCGAAGCCTCCCACAACCCGATCACCAAGCTGTGCGTGGAGGAGGGAGGGAGGAGCCTCCCTGTCCCTCACTTGCTCGTCACTGGTGAGGCATTGAGATCGATGGCCTCAGTGGGGTTTTTTTTTTTTTTTTTATTGGACAGCTTGGATCAATGGCGCTTTGCCATTGATCCAAACCATCCACAGAGCTCCGGCCTCTAACACAGAGTAGAGGCTGTTGCAGCTCTGGATTCACTATGTTAGGTTACACAAGCAGTGGTGAAGCCAGCTGCTGTGTAATCTGTGTAATTTAGCTGTCAAAAGCCGGATGCAGCGCCACCTGTAATTAAGAGGCAGCGCTCCGTCCATGACAGGCTATACGGCGGGGAGGATTTCCCTGCTGTATAACCTGTCACAACCCGATCTGAATGGACAGCTTTTTCCTCCACAATACTAGGTGAGACTCTGCCTCACTTGCCTCCTCTGACCGCACTTCCTAGATAGATAGATAGATTTCTCAAAGACTGTATTTTTAATTTGGTTTATTTATTATCAAATAATGAAACCTCTATTAATGGAATATCCCTCCACACTTTATTCATATAAACTAGGAACTGCTTCATCCTTGCTGAGAACAGTCATTCCTAACATAAATATATAATTTATGATTAAAATCATGGAAATAAAACCCCTTTTTTGTTCAGTATGTGAAGCTATTACCTTACCGAAAAATGATTTGGCCTTCATCACTCCTCAGGCCAGGCTGCTAGACCTTAGAAGGTATATTGTATTCACGCAAACTACTCTGTGTGGGTAGATGTATTTTAGACAGAATGCGGACATTTGTCTTTGAAGAGACCCTGCACCAGATCTATTTTTATCATTTTAAAGCTCACATCATACAACAGAAATAATTTGGCACCCACAGGGCTGCGTCACATATTCACAGATCCACTCACAGGATCTTTGAATGGAGAGACCTCAAGTCTCATCTGCCATCGTAGCAGAAGGGCCTGTAGTTCTCCATGGAGCACAGGTGCTGTGATGTCACCGCCATTGTAGTCCATTGATGCGTCCTCTCATCCTGTAACTGAAAGTAAATACCTTGGTACGGATGGGGGCTGGGAGATAGAACCTACAGGAGTCAGAGCATTGCACCCATCATTTGCTGATTGCACTTGCAATGCTTTAAAGGCTTAAATGCAACAAATTCATGAATGCAAGTGTTTTGCTTCAAATTAATTTGTGTGCATTCATAATTTTTTGTAAAATCTGGACTATGCCTTTAGGAATTACATTTAATTGACCATTTGTGAACACTTTCACTTTGGGCTTTCTTTTGGGAAACAGTTAAACTAATTGTTTTAGTTCCGCTTTACATTATTAAATGCCAACTTATAAGGGGTGGAAAAAAAATGAGGAAAGCACAACACTTTCGGGTGTTTTCAGATTGTTCCCTTTCCCGCCTGCTGCTTCCCCAAACTATTCACCATTGGGTATCTAATGACTTGTCACTGTTATAAAGTACAGTAAGTGACACCAGCCACAAGGAAATGATATGTACAGTAAAAATACATCATAATGCTAGTTTATCTTGTGGCAGTCATTGAAAGGACAGCTTAATCTTTCCCAGGTTTTCAGAAAGGCTGTTGCAAGTCTTACAAGTCATAATCTTAGAGTTTGTCAAAATCTGCAACACAGTGCAAATAATCAGCAAATTGTTATGGCCACTCATAGATTGTAAGTTTTAAGAAAATGTGAATATGTCTTGCTTTATATTACACTGAGGTCACTATAGTATTATTTTAAGTAATATGCAAGGGATTGTTTTAAATAAACTTTGGCCTAAGTCAACAGATGATTGTCGAATAGACAGGTGTGCTTTAAAATCTGTCACCATTATGCTATAATACTGCTGCCTACTCGGTGGAGCAAATTCTAGTATTAAATGAGAATTGTAGGGTGAAGGCTATTCCAGAATGTGCAGTTATTAACAGCACAATCGCACAATATGCAGACTTGCTTTTGGGTTTGCCCTTCTTCATCACTGATGGCTTAGCGATCTCTCCCCATTCCATCAACCCCATTGCCATCTTTTCTCCTCTTCTTTTTTTTTTCCCGCCCATTGGGTGGCTACTGATTATTATTATACAGGATTTATATAGCGCCAACAGTTTGCGCAGCGCTTAGCAATATAAGGAAGACATTGCAATCACAATACAATTCAAGACAAGATGGTAAGGAGGGCCCTGCCCCTGAGGGCTTACAATTTAAAAGGATGTAATTCCTGTTCGTGTGTAATGGAGGTACATCATCATGGCTCCATTCTGGGAATCTTATAGTTGCTCGGATTGGGTTTAGAGTGTACACTGCATTGCCTATGAGCCACAAAATATCACTAGCAGATAGGTGAAGGAGATTTTTTTGTCAGAAAAGACATAGTGAGATCAGGGGGGTCCCGAGTCTGGGTGTCACGCGGAGCAGAGACTGGGTGACACCCCGCTGTGACGTTATCGTGCACAGTCGTCTTATTGGCGCATGCAGAGAGAGAGGAGGGGACGTTCACCCGGCGGGGTATGCCGCCGGGTCCCCTCCTCTCTCCTGACACTGTCAGGCTCCCGGTCTGTGACCGAGTGCCCGACTTTTCATAGGGGATGACACCAAAATGACTGTCAGTCATTTTGGTGGCACCCGGGTGCAGGCCGCAACCCCCTTGTGGCGCCACTGAGTGAGATGCTAGTTTTTTTCCCCCACTTCAGTTTTACTTTACATTTTTATGACGCTATTACTTAATTTTTCTGGATTTACTGTGTTTCATGTTGGCACATCACTCACAATAACAGTTATGTATGCACAGTGAGAATACCTTCAGATCTCTCTAAACAGAAAATGATAATTTACTATTCAAGTTAATATGTTCAAATCATGCACTCTCTCTCGGGGAATAAAGTGACATCAGTCCTATGCATTTATTTTAAAATGTCTTAATTAGCGGTTCCTCTTGATGCATGTATACAATTATGTCTTGCCAGTACTTCACCAATGTCAAGGGGGGTTGCATTCTGCACATTTCCCCAGAAAAGAATTTCAGAGCTGACACATGGCTGTTTTTTTCCAGTACACAAAAGAGGAAAGGGGAAAAATTAGGGGTAACCTGATCTATGTTGGACAGTGTGTTTGCATGCTGTTAACGGTTTCCATCTGCTCAGTGTGCTCACAGACTTTTTTTTCCCTTTTCTTTCCTTCCTTTTTTACCTTATCTTCCCTCTTCACCTTTGTCTTCTTCTCTCTCCTCCTCTTCTCTCTCCTCCTGTCCCTGTCTTTTTTTCACCTCTGATCTGGACCTCTTAGCCCCACTTAGAAAAGCAAAGTTTGTGGAGAGCCCCAGAATTCCAGAGTCTGAACTTGGATCCCCAACCCTCGGCTCATCTCAGAAACTGGACACTGATGCATACCTGTTGGGTGAGTGAACGCTTTGGCGGTGGCACGTGGGTTTTCGGGGTCAAATGTGTCGGTGAAGGAAAAGGCAACTGTCAGGTGCTGAACTTTAACCCTTTCATGCAAAGCAGATGGTGCATTGTTGGGCAGACACTATGGTGTCTTCTCTATCTGTTCTCAGTATAAGTGCTAGAAGCCAGTGACATTTGTTTTGGGAATGCAGACTCTCTCTACTTTGTGCTGCCACTGAAAACTAAAAGGTGACAGATTGCCACATTGGTCTTAGGAACTCTGTAGCTGACCAGTTAAAAAACAACACAAAATCATAAATCCTTCTGGCTGGAAAGTCTGAGGTCATTATAAGGACATTGCATATGCTCACTTTTATAATGCTACGCTGTCACCATACATTTACAGCAGGCCCCTCTCTACAAATGACCACTTATATGGAGGGACATTCTGTACATGTATGGCGACATTTAAATGTCTTGGGAGCAACCAAATCCAGAGTGGTCTCTTATGCAAATCTCTATCAGCTCCTGATGATGAAGAGCATGGGCCGACCCCTACACGTACTGCACCTCATTGTTAGCCCATAACTATGATAGGTGACCTGAAAAATACTGAGCAGGGGGATATTTGGATGTTAAAACACACTGGGTTGTTTGCCTCCTGGAGCATTCTACCAGGTATGTGGCTATCTGTGGAGCATCTCTAGGTGCCTACTATACATGTCCTGTGACTATTTAGAATGTGAAAAGTGTACATAGGTTTACTGTACCTATAAGATAAGAGATTATTATTGTGTGATCCTGATTATATTGGCATGGTCCCACAACCATACTAAAGGTCTATGCTAGGGCTGCAACAACTAATCGACATAATCGATTATAATCGATTATTGAAAAAGTTGTCAACTTTTTCAATAATCGATTAATCGGCTTCCGATCAGTTGGCCCTGTTCACAGCTCCACACGCTGTGCGCCGCACCTCCTCCCCACCTCACGCTCGCCGCTGCCAGACCCGCTCGCATCCACGCTCCACACGCCGCACCTCCTCCCCGCCTCACATTTCCTGCCCATCCACGATCGGCAAGGCACGCGGGGAGATGTAGTAAGGAGGAGCAGGGGTGGGGGGATGACAGCAGCTGATAGACAGGTCCAATCTCAGAAGCATGTTGGTGGAAGACTGGTCAGGTAAGCCTGCACTTTCCCACACATGGTGCTCTATAATGTATTGCTGGGATTTGTATTTCTCTATAGCTGATGGTACATTGTGCTGTATATTATACAGAGGAATACAAATCCCAGCAATACATTATACACTGTATGTATAATGTATTGCTGGGATTTGTTGTACTCCTCTATAGCTGGTGATATTCTGCATTGTGCTGTATAGAGGACTACAAGTCCCAGCAATAATACATTATAAAGTGGTACAATGCTAAATACCACCAGCTATAGAGGACTACAAAACCCAGCAATAGTACATTATACAGCGCAATGCAGAATGCCGCCAGCTATTATGTACTATTGCTGGGATTTGTTGTATTCCTCTATAGCTGGCGGTGTTCTGCATTGCGCTGTATAATGTGCTTTTGCTGGGTTTTGTAGTCCTCTATAGCCGGTGCCATTCTGCATTCATTGCTGTATAATTTTACACTTTCCATTTCACTATATTGCACACCACACTATCTTTTTTTCTTTTTTACTTCCACCGCTCCAAGCTTGCTCCTGTAATGCACTACAACCTCAATACAAACTAGTAGTCCTATCACTGGAGCCATTTTTTAAACTTTATTTTATTGTTTATCCGATTAACCGATTTAATCGAACTTAATAATCGGCTAACTAATCGATTTTGAAAATAATCGTTAGCTGCAGCTCTAGTCTATGCATATCTTCTGATCTTGGCAAACCTTTGCTGTCTCATTGATTAATCTGACAGGTTGTATTATATTGACAGAGACTATCACTTCTCTGAGATGGTGCTGATGATGCCGGTAGTGTCTGCTCCTCAAATCCCCATCTACAGATGTCCAATTACTATTTAATGGGTGTTGTACAGAATTATGGTTCAGTGTATAGAAGAGAAGGTGGAACTAATCTTACCCTGCCCAGCTTGCTGTCCACACGGCTGCTTTACATCGATGCTCTACACAAGCTAACGGTGCATTGATCAGCTTCCTAATGAAGTCTTTTGATTCCCATGAACTGACTATATACTGTATGAATTCTCTAATTGGAAAAATGGTTAAATGTGGGGTTTTTTTATGGACTAAATATACAATCCTTTTGTTTTATCATCAAATGGTTTGCCAGCAGTCACCTCTCCTACTCCCACCTTGAAGGGAAGTATTATTGGAACGGACGCATAACCAA